TTTTTTTTTTTTTTTTTTTGTGCAGATAACAAAATGGTGCCCAGCTATCTAACCAAGCATTTCCACTTTTACTATTGGGTACAGAGAGGTTAGTCACTGCCATCCCTTCACACAAGAACTAGGAAATAAGAACCTTAGTCTCAGTCAGATACTTGCATCAGAGCTTGCATGTATTTCAAATTAACTTATAAGTACAGTTCTGTATAGGCCAGCTGCATCTTGTACTGCAAGCCAATATTTTGTAAGCCTGTCGAGCATTTTCAGTCCACGTTCTTAGGGTATGAACTCTTTTTGCTTCAAGTCACAGCAGACACCACTTGAGGTATGATATATTCCCTGAAATCTTTGATATACTAAGATTTGGTTTCACAGAAGGTATGCTTCCAAATCATTTTAGGAGCAACTTCATTGAGGAAAACACCTGTGAAACAGTGCAGTGACCAAAGGGCATCTTTAAAAGCAAGCTATGCAACAAAAATTGTAGGCTTTTGCTGAAGCAGCAACTTTTGTTTCTCATTTACTTTATAGTATAAACAAAGTTGAAACAATTTATTTTTTTTTAATAAGTGTCATTAATCTATCACCAAGTATGTGGAGGAGAAGGGTGAGTTTTTTGGGGCAAAGCTTACTCCTCACTGCAAGTTTTACAGAAATTAATTTTAATTCCTAACCCTAGAACAGCCATATAACAAAAAAGATGCTTTTCTTGGAAAACATCCATCAACCTGGCCAAAGCTCTTGTAACAGCTAGTGGGAAACCTAAACTACATGAACTTAGGAAGCATCAGTCTTTCTAATTTGGAGGTAGATATCTAAGTGTTAACTTATAACTTAGCGTCTTTGCCAGATAAAAACACTATTTGGGTCATATGAAACAAAAAGTTAAGTGTTTTGGGGTGGGTTAGGTTTTTTTGCCTTTGTAAATCAAGATGCACAGCAGGATGGAGGAGCAGCATACATAAAAGTGTTTTCCAAGCTCTTTAAGCCTGATCTTATGTTGCCAACTAGGAAGAGCAGTGGCTGCTCCTTTGCAAACAGCAAATTTTTTAAGTTCTGGTCACATATGTCTTCAGACAGTCATTTGCCATCAGGGTGACACTGTCACAGGGTGCACTATCACAGCATTAGTGAAGGCATTATGCTGCAAGCAGTAGAAGGTGATTACTGGTACTGCTTCATTGTATCTTAGTGGCAGAGCAGAGCCAACCTGGGGGAGCGACAGAGGAGAAAGAGGAGTGTTAAGCTTGCAGACCTGAGCCAAATAATACTGATATCGAGTTGTTTGTTGTTGATAAGACTTCCAGTGACTTGTATCAGTTCTGAGTTCAACTCTGTGGCACCACTTCAGGGTGTGAGCCCTTAAATCAGCACATGCACTGAAGAACTCTATGGGAAAGATCAGATAAAGTACATGTACAAAGGCAATAGCTTAGAAAAGCTTTTGAAATCAGAGACTTTAAAGACCATTGTCATTCACAGTTATAGAACCCTGTAGCATCTCAGACAGCCCAGTTCCTTTGGGGGGCATTCACGAGGGTGTCCTCTAATGGCTTTGCCCTTGTCCTGTCCTCACTCCTTCCCAACTCAGCTGGCCCAGAATAAAGCCCTGTGATGCCTCTGGTCTCACACAGGCAATGGAAAAGGCTGTCCCAGACACTTCAGCGTAAGTCGAACTGAGATGCTAACCATGCTAAAAATGCCAAATTCAACCCTGAAACTGGATGGCAACTCACCTATCTGCTTAAAAAACTGGCTTTCACAAGATAAATTTGATTCCTTGTTGGTTTTGTGCATTTCAGTAGATAAAAACCAACAATACCAAAAATTAATCTCAGTCCCCTCACAGCCTCTGCAAGGTTGTTTTGAAATGGGGTGAAATAACAGTATAGAGCTCTGGGACTTTATGACTTCATGTCGTTCTCCTCTCTTCAGCCATCACAAGTCCTGTCAAATAAAATTCTGAGCCATTATATCAGGTTCTGTATGGTTCATTGAGAAAGAACAAAGGGAACATTCTCTCCAAGGTTATAATACTGACAGGGGAAAAAAATAGTATCTAAGACCAGTTGAGAAGTATTTGGAAAAGTTCTAACAGCAGGACTCTTATTAAAATAAGTATAGGCTATAAGTCATAGTGTTGCAGGCAGGAAAAAAAAAAAAAAAAAAGCCCTTCTCCTAACTTCAGCTCGTAAAGAAAACAAAAGTTTGATCCCAGAAGGAAATTTAAATATTTCTGAAAAGCCTGATAGCAATCTTTAAAAAGGCGTATTTTGTATCAAAGTAACTTCGTTTTCTTTTCTCTGTAAGGTGCTGATTTGATTTCCCATTGGGCACCTAAAAGAAAAACAAAACAAAACAAAAACCTTTAGCACTGTATGATCCCTCTTTTCAATAGCAGAACACGTTAGACCAGTCTGGACTGCTTCACCCAGCAACATACTGCAACCTGCCTCGCTTACCTGACATGAACAAGGCTGTGCATCCCTAGATTTCACCCAGAAGCTGTTAACAGTGAGAAGCATTTTGTCCTTAGTGAAACCCATTAGCAAAACCTCCATAGCAAAAGCATACAATGGAGGCAATTCAAGATTTTCCCTGCTGTTGAATGAGAATCACCTAGTGTGGGCTAGGCTTTGGAAAGCTTCAGAAATATATTCAAAGTGTTATTTCCATATCTCTGCTTAGATTGAAACATATATTGTTGGTTCAAGGTGCCTTAGTGCACTTGATGCAGAACAAGCATGGAATCAATCAACTGAACATAGAAAAATACATCAGCTGACTTCAAAGGAAAAGAAATTCTTTATATTATGTTAACTCTTGTGTTCTTAATAGAGGCAAGAGGGAATACAGAACAGCATTCTGCAACTGCCCTTTAGACAGTGGTTTCAATTAAAATCAATGAAACTGACACAACAATATTATTTACATCAGTGTATAAAATCATGGAAGTTAGTAATTAAAATGATTTATTGGTTTATTTGTAACAATAAAAGAAACATTAATCTGCCCTATGCTATTAAGAGGCTAAAAATGAATAACCCATTTTTAGGCTGTTCTGGGGTGGGGGTTTTTTTGCCTCTGTTTTTAAACAGTTGGCAATTATCAGTATTTCCTCTTAGAACATAATGATTTAATAATTTTCTATAAAATATCATGGGAGAATGTTAAAAGGAATGTATTCTGCCTACTACAAGAGATCCAGGGATGAATCTCAAAATGCCATACCCTGCAAAAATTGAGAATAAGTTAGAGTAACTGGGAAACTGAGTTCTCAAACACTTTGTTATGCTTTACCAAAAAGGTTCTTGATGTTTAATGAAGAAACTCCTGAATCTTTCAAATGTGTCTATAGAGCATAGGGTAGAAGTGATAAATGTGTTTAGGTTTCGCATGTCCTTCTGGGACCAAACTCTAATTACTGTAATAACACTTTAATTAAAAATAGATATCCAATAATTCACATGACCTGGCCAAAACTGTGTCTGCTGATAGCAGGTATGCAACAGCACCTAATTACAGGGGCATATTTAGGGGGTTTGTTTTGTTTTAAGTTATTCCAGGAGCTGTACTTCATATCTTGCTGATAACCAGTGGCTTACAGACTACACATTGGTTAGCAAAGCCTTATACAACTTGTGCTGTCTCATATAAATGCACATTCACCTCCTCCCCAAACAGGGATCTAATTTCTCACTAATAACTATTACCTTACTAACATTTTGAGGACTTGTGACTGATACAACATGAAGAAGCTTTCATCATTTTCTGACAAGTTTTTCCATCAGAAATACTGGTTCAATGAGATTAAACTATTACAGGAACATGTCAATGTCATTTACTTTACCCAGGAAACTGTCAAAGTGTCTTGATAAAGTTGAAACAAAATATTTTGTTATGCAAGATACACAAAGATCACTATTTTCTTTCTGATTACAAATTAAAATGAGGTTTCAACTCAAAATTCAACTCAAATTCAAAAGGGAATTCCCTTTGCGGGTGGGGGAGCATACCATAGAATAAGAGTAACTGAAAAAATAGTGAGGTAATTTCGTTTACATGTTGCAAGTCTCCTACCTATATTATGTGTTCGAACAAGCCTAAGTTTAATTCTTGTAACCTCAGTAGTTCAACTGATGAACTGACACCCTCTCTTCACTCAAGGAAGTAAAACTTCCTTATAGCCTGCTAGGAAGATTTTACCTGTTGAAACAATGCTGTCTTATTCCTCAAATTACAACAAATCTTTACAAATCCAATGAAAATTATGACACTTACATGCTTGCAAAGTTTCTACATATTAATATTCTGATTTTTCTTTTCACACACCCGCTGTCTAGGAAGAGGAGGAAGGCTGGAAAATGGCTCCCAGTAATTTCCTTTCAATAATGGAGGAAGGAAACAGTCAATACAAAGGTCAGTAGAAAAAGATAACAATCACAGTTGGAATGTTCTTCTAATTCAGCTTAATCTGAATGCCATTTCTATAAGGTCAGGCTGGGCAGTTGCCCAAACTATGGAACATTGTAGAAATGAGGACATTGGGCAAAGTGGTATTTAGGAATGAAGTCTCTCAGTACCTTCAAGTCTTAGGAGTCTCCCAAAATCATCAAGTGAATCATACAGAAAGGTACATTTTTATATGAGTGAAAGTGGCCAAACTAGAACCAGAGTGCTTTGATATACATGCAGAGGCTTCCTTGGATTTTTTGAGGGCAACAAAAATGACATCTGAATAGCAGATAATTCAAAAGCACTATACTGTAAATCAGCATCAATTTTTTCACGTTCCTGTAACTCTTTATCGCGTCTTCCTCTCATTCATGGGTTCATCCAAGTGTCCATGGGTTCATTCACCTACAGTCTACAGCTAATGAAATTATTTTTGATTACGTGGATCATCTTTTCAAGCAGGGGCACGAGAAATGCTGCTGGACCGTGAATATACTTGCTTCAGTCGGAGTGTGGGCAACTTAAAAAACATAACTCAAACTTATAGCTAGGAGACTGGCTTTTTTTTCACCTTAAGAAAGCATCCAAAAGTAGGGATTTTTCAAGTTTAAAAAATGGTTTTCATAACAGGACATCTTACTCTTTTCCATGTCTCTTCTACCCTCTCCTCTACGCTTGATGCCTTTGTCTGTCTCCTAAACACTTGTCTTCAGTGTGCTCCCTAGGTACACAAGTGAGTTTGCAATCACTTGTGCTGAGCCTGGAGGTGAGCATGGAAGTCATGTACTTGTCTGAAATGGAAAGGAGCACCCGTTTCATGAACTACAAACAAACAGCACAATAGGACTCCAAAGGTCAGACAAGCCAAATTGAAGTCCTCCATTGCAAAAGTGTGCCTGATCAAAGCTTCCAGGGGTTATTTTTGCTTTATATCATGGAGATTCTATTCTCAAACAATTATTAAAAATAACTTTCCTGCTCCCCACTCTACACAGTTAGTGGCTTGCTAAAATTCCTCATATGTACAATCTCCATTATTCTCTCCTTGCTGACAAATTACTGCCATCAAGTTTTCTGCCTGATTTGGGTTGGCCAGAGAGAAAGGACTTACTTGCTAAATATACACGCGTACAGTTTTGCCTAACTTCTAACAATTAGAATTTTCTTACACATTATAAATCATAAAGCAGCTTTGTGGCTAAAGAGAATCTCTTTAGTCCCAGACTTTCGAATGCTACATCAGAACCCCATTGAATTCAGCAGG